AAGATATAAAAATTGTGAGATTCTGATAAACCCAGCTAATAAACAAGGCCCCAATTTAGAGAAACAACCTGAATTATTAGATGCAATTAAAATAAACTTGCAACTGTTTTCTGAGTCAAAATTGCAAGACAAAAAGTCAAATACATTTTTCATATAATATAAAGCAGAGATGCCCAAACTAGGACTCGCGAGCCAAGGTTGGCCCATGGTAACCTTTGATTTGGCACGCAATGTCATCTGAGAAGAGAGGGAGAATGATGGCGATGGTTTAGAGATAGTAGAAACTAACGAAAATTAAATGTTTAAATTTAAATGGTGTCAATTAATCAGATTTAGTGTAAAATGTACATACTGTCACCCGATGGATGCAGGACTTTGGTGAGCAAATCAAGGCAAAGGCAGATTCTGCTTGACTAGTGTATTCAGCATTGAATTCCACTGTGTTATAAATGTGATTTTTAATGGTTTTATTGTAATAGTTATAATTTAAAAAGTTATACTGCATTAGGTAATATGATTCAAAGTAATGTTTTCTATTTATTTTTTAATGTTAGGAAATAAATGAGGAAATTACTCATGACAACTTGAATGTAAAATAGTTTGGTATATTTATCTTCAGCCCACGGCTCTCAATGATATCTGTTTTTTTGCCCTTCATATGAAAAAGTTTGGGTACTCCTGATATGGGCCATTTCATTGTGGTGGTGTCACTGGCTCATGAACATTTCCTGCTTGTTGTCAAACTATTTCGGAACTGCAACAAGAGGCAATTTAATCATATCTTAACATTAAAACAGATTTTAAAATATTATTTATCGACATGTGGACCTTTTTGGATTCTTGAAAGCGTTGAAAGTTTAAAAAATGTCATACAGGAAATACATTAGGACCATTTTTATTGTTTAAATCCCTCAAAATGGTCTATAAAGCATCTTATGTTATTTAGACATGATAAACTCAAAACTCGGCCTCATATCTGACTTACTTTCTTCTTTGGAAAACAAAAGAATTTTATTTGTCCACACAATGAAAATCAATGGGGTCTAATGCTGCTTTGGAACCTATTGACTTTCCCCACATGGACAAAATCAAAACAAAATGTTTTCTTTTTGTGTTCTACAGAAGAAAAAGTTGTGCGGCAGTAAATGATGAGAGAATTAATTCTCTGTTAAGAGGTGAGTTCAGGAGTCTGTGTCATTTAAACACTTACTTTTAAACCCTCCGCCATGACATATCAAATTAGAGTGCGAAACGCTGGGCTGGCTTATGTGAAAGCAAGGAGGCGAACGACAAGTGATGCAGAAAGCAGTGGAGAGAGAAAAAAGAGAGCTGGAGTGAAAGAGGGGACGCAGGAAGGGGGCTGAAATAAGTGCGGTGGAATGCCAGTCTTGTCACCTGCTCTGATGTGGATCTGTGCTTGGCTCTGATAAATCTTACATTATCTGGGCTCTTCAGGCTGGCAGGCAGGGCCGTGCCTTATCGGCACTGACACGCTCAATCTTGCCTAGATTAAACCAGTGCCTGGCCTGATCCAACCTGACAGGGTCCCCACAGGTCCTGGATAAATTACTGACAACCCTGCACCACCTTCGTCTTCACACACACACATGCACTCAACCCTGTGGCCTGAAGTGAGCAAGCTAAGTGGTTACGGAAATAAAGGTTGAATTCAAGTTTAAAGGGCGAGAGTGTATCAAAGATTGGGAAGCGATGTCTAAATGATCTCATTTAAGCCAATTTAATGAGAAAGCAGATCTGTAAATACAAACCGGGCATTCAGAGCTGAGGAAACACTTTCCAGGATGACTTTCGAACTCAAATACTGCTAAAAGTCACAATGGATAATGTGTCAACAGGCCTTACAACACACACTCTTGGCTGATTCGTGATGTTTTGAAATGCAGCTTCTTTATTTCAAAGATAAAGTTTATGTTTATGTTAACCTTGTTACTTCTGGAAAAATCTGGCAAAACTAATGAGCCAACAGATGTACTATATGAGGTTTTGGGAGATTTCTATGTAAAGATGTGTGTTAAAATGCATTGTTTACAATTAGTTGCATACGATGCACAAAATGTTTATTAAAATAAGTGTTTTTTAAGAAAATGTTGTAGGGATGTATGTTGTGGGGATCTGATCATGTGATCTATCTATCTATCTATCTATCTATCTATCTATCTATCTATCTATCTATCTATCTATCTATCTATCTATCTATCTATCTATCTATCTATCTATCTATCTATCCATCCATCCATCCATCCATCCATCCATCCATCCATCCATCCATCCATCCATCCATCCATCCATCCATCCATCCATCCATCCATCCATCCATCCATCCATCCATCCATCCATCCATCCATCCATCCATCCATCCATCCATCTATCTATCTATCTATCTATCTATCTATCTATCTATCTATCTATCTATCTATCTATCTATCTATATTCTCATTATTTTTTAACACATCTATAGTTATGCGGTGGCACAGAGTTAGACCTTCTTCTTGACTTAACACAGAAACAGCAACGTATGCAGCATTAATTTGCTGCAGATAGGCTATTGTTTAAATATTGGCAAAGTAGAACACGGAAGCAGCTTGAAGTGGAAAGCGCTAATATGTCTGCGGTCTGGAGGTATTGTAAAGTCTATGATGACAACATTGCCATAGCAACTGTAATATACTGCCAGGTATTTTAAGTTGAGGTGCTATTTGTTTTTCATATTAGATTTATTTTACATTTACTGTTGCACTAAAGTCCAAAAGTGCAACTGTAGAATTAATGTTACTTAACAGTAGAATTAATGTTATTTATATCAATTCTTGCTACACTAAGAAGTGATGTTATTTTTTACTTGATTGTTCAAGCTACCTCACACAAGTATTCTGTTTGTTAACAGTGTTGTTGAATGATAAGATATTAATTAAATTAAATAAATCAAAGTGAATTGCATAAAAAATAAGGAACATCCTGGATCTGTTTCGTCAGTCTTTTTATCCTTTTTTTTGACGTATTATCAAAGTATCAGATGGGGTTTCGGTATCAGTAGATACTCAAAATCAAATGACTCGGACTCAAAAAAACTGATCGGGACATCCCTAATATGTTGTCTTTTCTATAAATTAATGAACTGTGTGTGTACAGATCAGGATTAAACACAAAAACTTTGACAGCCCCAAAATACATTTGATTAGTACTGTAACACTTTAGTTAAGTAACGGTTCTTGATATTATCTATTGGATTTGTAACAGTGTAACTTATCATATGCATTTGTTTATACGGCAAGAGATGTTTTTATCACCATGGAGGTCCATACAGATTACAAAGGCAGATACTGATAAGATCAGGGACTGATTAATACAGTATGTGTGTGGACTTTTGGGGTTTTACAATGTGATCACATGTTGATTGGTCAGTTTGTATGTCTCAGTATTTGGGCTTTGGTCAGATGGTCAAGAGAGATACAAACCATGTATCTTAAAAGTTTTGCTCTGGCTCTTTTTTTCCTGCTCTGGTCCTCTCCTATTCTAGAGTATACTGTATCTTCTCTGTCTCTATTGCTATCAGGCTCTCTTTGAAGCCAACTCTCCAGTCTGTGTCTCTCCCTCCCTCTGTCTCTGTCTCTGTCTCTCTTTCTCTCTCTCTCTCTCTCTCTATCAGGTAACTTTATTTCACATTTAAGCTGGGTAAAATTATTATCATATGTTTTTTTTATCTCTTGGCTCAGTAGTTTTGCCAGATTTTTTCCAAAAGTAACAAGAAAAAAAAGCATAAACTTAAACTTTATCTTTGAAATAAAGAAGCTGCATTTCAAAACATCACAAATCAGCCAAGTGTGTGTGTGTTTTAAGGCCTGTTGACACATTATCCATTGCAACTTTTAGCACTATTTGAGTCCTAAAGTCATTCTGGAAAGTGCTTCCTCAGCTCGGAATGCCGGTTTGTGTTTACAGATCTGCTTTCTCATTAAATTGGCTTAATTGAGATCATTTAGACATCGCTTGACACACTCTTGCCCTTTAAACTTGAATTCAACCTTTATTTCCGTAACCACTTATCCTCTCCTGTTCTGGAGTATATCTTCTCTGGCACTATTTCTATCAGGCTCTCTTTGAGGCCTACTCTCTGGTCTTTGTTTCTCCCTCCCTCCCCCTGTCTCTCTCCCTCTCTCTCCCTCAGGGAACTTTTTTTTTTTACATTTAAGCCAGGTACAATTATTATCAAATGTTCTTTATCATTTCATGTTTTATCATTGTTTACAGTTATTTTGTAACTAATTTAGTTGTAACAATAAAGAATTAAGGTCATTAAATAATTCCATGTTCAAGTATTTGTGAATTACTTTTAATTTCACATCAACAATTAATCACTCCATATTACAATACAAAACAATCACATAATAGCAACACTCTCCCACTTTTTAAACTATTATAACTGCCCTCATTTCTGTTTTTGGTATAAGATTGTAGAAGGATGGTTTGATTGGAAATGTACAGTTTTTCACCATCATACTGATAACTCATTCGGCAGAACTACAGTTTGAACCGCAGTAGTTAAAAACCCATTCTTTACAGCTAAATACTCAAGACATTGGCTGTTTATTAAGACTTATAAAGCACATATTGTGCATGATTTTATTCTACATCCCTGTTCCTACCTAATACTTAAACATAACTACCACTTTAATAAGTATTAATAAGCAGCAAATTTGGAGTTTATTGAGGCCAAAATTATAGTTTACAGTTTATTAATCTCGAGAATTTAAAATAAAGTATGACCATTTCTTTTGATCAGTTTTCCATAAACCAGCGCCCTTTTGTGTCAAAGACAGTGATAAAAAAAAAAAGAAGATGTTTGGAAGTTCATAAATCAATATTATATAGACCAAAAAGCTAATATACATAGCTTGAATTCTCTAACTTTGATCTCAGAAGATTTTTTAAGCATCAACCAATCATGGAAAGTCAAACAGGAGATGCTGGTGAACTCTTACCTGTCACTGTAGGCGGCTGCGGCTGCTGCGGCTGGTTGGGCATATCTGTATGCTGCATAGCCACCCTGTCAAATACATAAGGACATCCGTCAGGCAAATGCAAACAGTGGGGCATCAATAGCAGCAGATTTTTAGGACCACAATACAACTGGACTGTTCATACATTAACAGTCCCAAAAGCTCAGTTACAGCCTTAAGAGAGCTGCTGAAAAGCCCTGTCAATGCTCACTAAAATCAGCGCTGAGTGATTTAGGTGGTATTTAGTTTGCCAATACAGCTTTTTGTGAAGCCTTTTTGTTTAATGGGGAATTGTCAGATTGACTGCATTAGCTCTTCATATAGATCTCGGCACAGATGCCTAACAGCCGAGTCCGAAAGCGAACCATCTGAGCGTCTTCCCTTATCTAAGCTGAGTGCAGCAATAGCGGTGCAACCAACGGCGTGTCTTTCCAGAGCGCATCAATCCCATCAATTGAAATGGCAGGGCCGGGCAACTATCGATCAGCATGGTAAGTGGCAATCTGGTATAAACAATTAAAATCAGTCAATGTTTGCTTACTGCGAATGAACCAAATGGAAGATTTGGCTGAAGCTATTGAAGGGGCCTTTTAATTAATGTGGCTGGCCAATACGAGTCCCCTGGCTCGGTGCCCAGGGGAGCGGTCTTGACACATGCAACGTGCTCATCCGTGGTTGGAGAGCGGCACAAGACAACACTAAATATTGCTTGTATAAGCATTAGATGACATCTGACGAAGCTATTAATTGCTCCATTCAAGCTAGCTATTAATAGCCATGTTGTAAGCGGCGTCGGATGACATCGTCGGAGATTGTTAGCCGCAACAACCCAGCGTTTCCCCACGCTAGTCTTGATGTCTTGTGAACACTTACACTACAAACATGCCAAGCTTTAAACAACAGGGAATGTATTTGCTGGCTGCGAGCGAGTATCTAAGTGGCTGGGGTGTTTATTGAAGTGTCTGTTTTAATGAAACGCAGCTCCGCTCTTTGTTATTTTAGCTCGCTGACATCACTGGTACATTATGTGAATAATCGCGGTGCCAGAGCACATGCAGGACTGAGGCATCGCAGATACAGGCCTGCACGCTGAATTATAGATGCTCTCATTTATTTTTCAGCTCGGGATTAATGTCCGATGCTACTCCGCTAAGATCAAATGTTTAGCTACTGGAGTTGAAGAAGGAGGAGAAAAAAAAAATCAGGTCACAGAAAAGCGTGTGCATGGACTTCAGTGGAAGATACAGCTTCTTAATTCCGGTGAACACAGATGGATTTAGAGAGACAGATCTATCACATTTGGTATTTATGACAGCATGTCTGTTTTTTTTTTTTTATATATAAAAAAAGGTATAATAAGCAGAGTCAGTCATAAACAAAAAACCTTGAGTAGACTTAAGATAATATTCAATGGATGTTTCTGATGTTTAATGGTTTAGACTTGATTAAAAAGTTTGAAAAGCAATAGTTTGTATTTTAAAAAAGTCTCTCATGCTCATCATATTGTGAAAGATCATTTTAGCAATTAGCATATGTTTTTTTATTTGAATATATTTGAATTGGATGCTAAAGTTGAATGCCCAGCACAATTTTGCAGAAGCCAATATGAATCAGCTTGGCAGTTTCTGGTCCCTATGAATTGTTGAGTGTAAGGAGTAAAAAAATTCTGTGGAAGTTACAACTTCTTAATTCCGGTGAACACAGATGAACTTAGAGAGACAGATCTATCACATTTTATATTTATGACGGCATGTCAGATTTTTTTTTAACATGAAAAAGGTACAGTCAGTCATTCATTTGTCTTCTTGTCGGCTTAGTCCCTTCATTAATCCAGGGTCACCACAGCGGAACGAACCGCCAGCTTATCTAGCACGTTTTTACAAAGCGGATGCCCTTCCAGCCGCAAGCCATCTCTGGGAAACATCCACACACATCACACACACACACACTCATACATTACGGACAATTTACCCTACCCAATTCACCTGTACCGCATGTCTTTGGACAGTGGGGAAAACCAGAGCACCCAGTGGAAACCCAAGCGAACGCAGGGAAAACATGCAAACTCCACACAAAAACGCCAACTGAGCCGAGGCTCGAACCAGCGACTTAGCAACCTTCTTGCTGTGAGGCGACAGCACTACCTACTGCGCCACTGCATCAGCCTAGCAAAGTTAGTCATAAACGTAAAACTTTGAGTAGATGTTACTGATGTCCAATGGCTTTAGTAGACTTATTGAAAAAATTTGGAACACAAAGATGCTTAATAATGCTCAGCATATTGTGAAAGATCATTTTACCAATTAGCATATGCCTTTTTCTATTTAAATATATATGAATTGGATGCTAAAGTTGAATTCCCAGTATGCAGGATCAAAATCTTTCATCAAGCCATTATGAATCAGCTTGGCAGTGCCTGGTCACTTTGAATTGTTGAGTGTAAATAATAAAAAAATGGTGTAAGTTACAGATTCTTAATTCCGGTGAACACAGATGGATTTAGAGAGACAGATCTATTACATTTGATATTTAAGCAGAGCCAGTCATTAATGTAAAACTTTGAGTAGACTTGACATCTTAACATTCTTAACAATGAATGTGACTGATTTCCAATGGCTTAAGTAGACTCATTTAAATAGTTTGGAACACAATAACATATATTTTTAAAAGACTGCACTGTAAACCTTAATAAGTTAAGACTACTCAAATGATTTGAGGAAAGTCATTCCCTTCAATTAAGTAATGGAATATTGACAACTCAATGGAGTTGACCAGATGTGGTCTTTTATTAAAACTTAAGTAAGTTAACTTAAAAGTTTAATTACAGATAACTTAAATGTTTAAGTACAGATAACTTAAAATGGGTAATAAACTATACTTCCAAAATTTTCAGCTTTTATATTTTTTACTTTCTAACTTACTCCCAGGGCCGTTTATTTCGATGTTGATATTTAGCCGCACCATGTTGGTGTTTTGTAACATCTAATTTTTACGAGGTGGGTCATTAACCCAATGCTCAACCCCCAGCCTGGAGGGTCAGGACATACACACCCTACGGACAATTTAGATTACCCAATTCACCTATAGCACATGTCTTTGGACTGTGGGGGTAACTGGAGCACCCGGAGGAAACCTACTCGAACATTGGGGAGAACATGCAAACTCCACATAGAAATGCCAACTGATCCAGCTGGGACTTGAACCAGCGACCTTTTTGCTCACTGCGCCATCCATGTCACTCCTGCGTGTATATCAATTAAGTAAAATTTAAGTATATAAGTATATAAGCATTTAAATATCTACTTACTAATTTAACTTTTCTCTTTCATCAGATGGGTTCAGGTAGCGCTTCTGTCTTGCTGTGCTTTAGTAAAACTCAGCATCACAAGCAAAATGGCCACCTTGTGTCATATAGAATATATATATCGACTAATCAGCATGGCTGTAAAGGCAGAATTTCAAGCGCAACCAATAGTTTTAAACAGAAACATGGTGATCGTTAAGAAATTAAAATGTTAATTAAATATTAATTCAAAGTTTTTTGCTGCCTAATGAGTAAGTTAAACAACTGCAAGTTTTAATGCCAAAATTTGGTATCTTTTTGGTCAAACTTTATTTTGATAGTGCGTTTGTGGAATTTAAGTAACATTGCAATTAATTCTCATTAGATTATTAGTAGACTGTTTGGTTGGGATTAGGGTAAGGGTTAGTGTAAGATGACATGTACTTGCAAAGTTTCCTATAGGAGCAGTATCAACATATATTAAGCAGACAGTCTACTGATACAACAAGGGACCATCAAAATAAAGTGTTCACTATTTGTAATGACAACAGAAGGGTTTACAGTCTGTAATGCTCCCCATATTGTGAAAGATCATTTTACCAATTAGCATGTTTTTTTTTTCTATTTTAATACATTTGAAATGGATGCTAAAGTTGAATTTACAGCAGGGTCGCAATCTTTTACAAGTCATTGTGAATCAGCTTGGCAGTGCCTGATCAATGAATTGTTGAGTTTAAAGAATAAAAAACTGGAACTTCCTCAGCCAACTATTGCTTTATAATTTATTTAAAAGTCCGCAGAGATGCATCCTGGATTTTATTGGCAAGTAAGCGTATGCTACTGTACGTACATTTGTCAAAATTCTCTCGACTGTAAGATTTATTTAGGCACATGTCCATAGTCCTGGCTAAGAGTTTGCAAACTTGGCGGCAAATATACTATTGTGTGTGCCAGGTAAAGGCATCACAATTACGTCCACGTTCATTTGTCCTGTTTCAGATCTAAATGTTGAATTAATTTCCGTTTTTCATGCAGCACAATAATTCTGGGTAGGGGAGGCACACTCTCTGATCACCTGACAGACTAATAGGCTCAGACTGCCTGTCAAAAACAATAGAGCCTGGGCACAATCTCAGGCTGGAGAGCGAGGCCTTTGGGCTGTATTTTAATAGAGGCTGAGGGAAAGGCGGATCAAATGCGCGCCATAAATTAAAACAAAAACACTGTAACGTCGACTTCATCAACTTGATCCCGTATGATTTTCCACCCACTTAAAATGAAACCAGGCAGTGGAGAAGATAAAATGTGGATGTTAAGATTAGACGTCAAGTGCGTAGGGGGGTTCATTTTTGGTTCATTCCACACTTTAGATTTAGATTAGGTTTAGATTACCATGAAATCCATAGAAATTCTGGATCTTTTCTCAACAGCCTGGATTGGGATTATTAGAAGATCATGATTGGTAAGGGCTGATAGAGAGAATTTGGTCAGGACACCAGGGTTACACCTCTGCTACACCACTTTGGCTTGGATTGGCTTGGGTTTTCCTAGTTTGTACAATACATATACTATATATGCCTTATTAAGCCAAATTCATACAGTATATCTCATTTACTGATTAAACTTACTTAATGTATCAGTGATTTGGGATAATCATTTGATTCTGACTTTTACAGTAATATATAATAAACGATTTTAACAAAAATGTGATTCTCAAAAACATAAAATGGTAAATTTACAGAATATTGACAGTCTACATCAATGCACTGATAAATGGTTGATCATAAAACACCAGGTTTACAGGGTAACTTCCATGTGAAAATAGGCTTTTATTTAAACACTATGGGCTCTATTTTGACAATCTAGGCACAAAGTCTAAAACGCATGGCCCAAAAGCATTATGAGCGTGTCTAAATCCACTTCTGCTATTTTTTAAAATTAATTTATTAATTAATTTATTTTTTAAACTACCCAGGTTCAGCCGGTTGCAATGTCCCGAATTTTGGTTGCCAATCTTAAGCCAATTGTAATGGATTTTTTTGGGTTCAATTAAAAAGTTTCCCAAACAGTGCAGAGCCCGGGGGACCAGAGGGAGTGCTCCGACTTGGCCCCCTCTGGTCCAACTTCTGCTATTTAAAGAACAGAAAAATACTGTCTGCGCCACGATGCATGGTCTAACAGGGTTGGGCTTATTCTCTTAAGGAGTTATGGGTGCGTTTTGAGCATAACGTGCATCAAACAATCAGAGTCTCATCTCTCATTCGCTTTGAGAGTCAGCTGCATATATGGCGGACTTTGTAAATGTAAAAGCAGAGTGCTTTACTAGTGAGATAACAGTTAATCAAACCATCTGCAGCGCAAGGATGTAGAATGAGCCTCCTCCATTCGGCATCTTGACTCTCTCTTTATTTTACTATTACTCTTTACTGTTTTATTTTGTGGAGTAAGGAAAAGTAGATTTTTTTCATTTCTAAATTCAGTTCTAATTTCCAGCAAACAAATAAAGGAACAATAATAACAAAGTATGGTCTAAAAACTTTTATAACTTTTGGAGTTATTTCCAAACACACGTCCTATTCTTATGCCCCACATGGTGAAGCATACGTCTACAAAACCTGACAGGTGGACAAATTGAAACTTGTTTTTATTAAAACAAATACAAATATGCATATAATAAATAATGCTTATACTAATAACATTATACAAATGCAAATTGTCATCAATAAACTGAAAAAAGCCACCCGGCATGAATAATTTTTGTAATATTTTAACCCTTTAATTTTATTGCATATGTAAAGATATTTGTGTATTGCTGTACATCCTGTGTGTTTTAAGCAATGTGTAAGCATTTGGACCTCATAGGCGCATAATTATTGTGATCTGCGCTGGACTTTAGACCAGCTTTTAGTTGGTCAACAGCGCTGTGTATTTCAGTTTCTCAAAATAGCAACAGGCAAAACATGCGCCTTAACACACATCCTTTTTAGACCGGCACACCCATGAATCCACAAAGTGGTGCAAACGGATTTGCTATTTAAACAACTTGGTGGAAAACGTGACATTATTGTTGCGCTGGTCTGAAAATAGCAACAAATCGCACCAAACACGTCTTACGTCTTATTGCGCCAGGTGTATGATAGGGCCCTAGAAGTCTATTTTGACTACTTTCAAACTACATAAAAAAGTGTTGATTGGTTGGTTAGAGCTACCTTTAGACTGGCGACTGAAAAAATGTCCTTCATTAATTAAGATACAGATCAGAGTAAAGGGGGTTTTGCACAATTGTAATGACTAACCCCCTACACACCTTTTTTGTTGTCCTTCAGGGGGGATTAAGTGTTAATTAAAGAGGGCTTCAAACCTTGGGAATTTATTGTAGAAGATTTCCTTGGAAAAACTAAGTTGCTGCTGGAGGTATGGTCTCAGCCATTCCACTTCCAACAGCAATCCATATTTTCAAGAAGGTCTTCCATCCACGACCCAGCCTAGCTTCAGTTGGCAACCGCTCTTGAGCTACAGGGTTATATGGCTTTAGAGAATAGCTAAAGATGTCAAAGAAGGGCATGCTGGAAGCTCAACATGTGTGAATTCATTGTGCCATGCAATGTTATGCACAGGGAAACCCCCAAAAGGTTCTAGTACAGCACAAACGGCCACCCTGGCGGATATGCACATGGTGACCTGAGCTGACCCTTGGCTTCATGAAAGATTCAGTAGCAGCTGCTCAGGTTAGGCTCAGCGAACATGTCCTCAAAGAAGCATACAGTACAACCCTGGCTTTCTTTAAAGAAACAGTAGAAAAAATGGAAAACACAACAGAATTTGGGATACTCACATAGATCTCAGCACCGTAGAAGCCATCTTGGTAAACCACACTGCAAAACACAACAAGAAATAACAAAACACAATACATCAGCGCCAAAAAGTCTACACAGTTTCCTCACTGTGTGTAGTGAAGGAAATAAATTATGCAGCAATGCATTCATTCAGCAGACAAAACAATGCACTCTAGACTGTGAGGAAGGGGGAAAAAATAGAGCAGATTAGGAAAGACCACCATTTTCTGTGCTTAGAGGAAAACAATGTTGCTTTATAATGGGCTTTGCTCTGTCTTGTCACTGGGGAAAACTGGTAGGGCTCGCCATTAGAGTGTAACACACTTTATAGCCATCAAGCGGTCATGTTGCAGGTTAAGGCTGTAGCACATATAATGTGAAAATGGTCCTTTGATGACAGTGCTTTTAAGCGCTGAGGTTTACCTAATAATGGCCTCAGGCTTGGGCAAAAAAACAAACAAAAAAAAAAACAAGGTGAGCTATTTGCAGATACTGTACGTGTGTGTTTTGGGTGAAGGGTTACTCACGCTCCGTAGGCGGGAATGGGAGGGGGTGGAGGCGCAGCACGGAACGTATTGTAGACGGCACGACCTCTGCCTCTCAAGTGGGCGCCCCTGTAAGCCACCGTCGCCCCTGTGGTTGGATAGGGGAAGCCTGTCACTGAAAAAAAGGAGAGAAGAAAGAAGGTGACATAAGCTTTTGCTTCTAAGAGGCGCACCTGTCACCACCAATCGGCTTTCAGTCGGTACTGTGACAACACACTGTCATCCTAAAGTGTGCTGCTTTAAAACAACTCAGACGGATGTCAACTGGTGCATCATGTTGGCACATTACATCAAGAATGGCAGCATGTTACAGCCAGTGATTCTCAAGTGGTTTTACTTCAGAACCCAAATTTGTGGCAACCCAATACACTTAAAATGAAGTAAACAAAAATGTTCTTCGAGATCAAACTGTGATGTTTATTAAAGACACACTATGGAATTCTGAACTCTCTGTCAACATCTGTTGTTAAAACATACAATTTCAAGTGAATTGGAAAGGAAAAGTTGATAACAGATTTTTGTTAAAATATTTGTGCTTGCTTTAATAAATATATGATATTTTGAAAACAAGAAATATTTAATTATTTCTGTTTTTTTTTTTATCTGAGTCTGAACGATCTTTTATTTTGAAAAATCTTTTATTTACAGAAAAAGACTGTATTCTATCACTTACATCTCGGTCACTTAGGCACCCAAGTTTAACCCACAACCAGCAAAATAAGTAAGAAAGAGACGTCTTTGGAAAGTTTCTTTGCTAAGAGGAAAAGGCCCAGTGAAGGCTGCCTTCTAGGGGCTTTTCACATATAGCGCCTTTTCTGGAGTTTGCGCAAGTTCATTATTTTCAATGGAGTGACGCGCTCCCGCCTTCCAGACACGCACAGTTGAATGAATACAAGAAGTGCACCGCGAGCTATAAGAAAAGAACTAACCGATCGCGTTGTGTCTGACATTGCATTGCTGAGTGATGCAATCTCAGCTTGCCTCATAAAGCCTGCATCCAGATACTATTGGACTGATCAGCCTCAGCTGCTTCGGTAGATTAATTATCTTAGACAAACACAGAACACCCAAACACTGCAGTGCTTTGTATTTTTTTCCATAAATTAAACTCTGTATCAGAGTTACAGCAATGTTTTATCAGCTTGCCATCCTTGGGAGAAAAAAGTTGATGGTTGCAACCTACGAACACCAACCCCATACGCCCACCCCTCCCCCTGGACTATGGTAAAATTGTCAAGCGTTGACCGGTCCGCATTGATAAAAAGGTTGAGGACCACTGCTTTATAGGTTTCAAATCATGAATTTCTTTTAAATAAAAAAAGAAGATATTTAGAAATTGTTTTGAAAATCTCCATAGTATTGTTTTTTTTCATGTTCATAGTATTGTTTTACAAAAGTCAAAGACTAAATTTTTCATCTTTCTTCAAAATATCTGCTTTTTTGTTTAACAGAAAAAAGAAAAAGGATAAAGTTTTGGAACCACTTGAGGGTGAGTGAAAAGTGAGTAAACTTCATTTTTGGGTGAACAATCCTTTTAATAAATTGATTTCTCATTAAACAATAATATGCAAACTCCTCTGTCTTTAGTGCAAGCATAAACACCATATGCCCAACTACATATAAATTATTCAAAATGATCCATACCAGCTGAAAAAACCCTCACTGCACTGAACCAAAAAAAAAAAAAAAAACTAGAGGCTTTTCCAGCTGAATATTAAGCAGAGATCTGAGGTCTTGGAGAAGAAAAGTGTGTGGCATCCCTGTCTGGGGAAGCCTCTTTATTGTGGTTATCTCTGAAACCTTGAGCGTGGGGTGTGTGAGAGTGTGTCTGGCTGCTGTCCCGCTCTTTGGGGGTGTGTGCGAGGCAGGGGAGATGGTAGGTTGTTGTAGGTGAGACACAAGGTGCTGGCACACGGGGCTGAGAGAGCAGATGGAGAGGATTGTTTAGAGATGCAATCACAGGCTGGCGCCATCCCTCATCCCTCATTTCTCTCCCCCATACATACATACACACACACACACACACACACACACACACACACACACACACACACACACACACACACACACACACACGCGCGCACGCGCGCACACACACACACACACACACACACACACACACACACACACACAAACACACACACACACACACACACACACACACACACACACAAACACTTCTCCAGCCTCACGCCACTACTGGGGCCAGAGCAGCCTGGAGGAGAGCAGGGACAAGTCAGGGTCAAGACTGGGAGAGGTGGCAGAGGGAGAGAGGGCCCGGGCTTTGTGTTAAGGAAACATACACGGATGGGAAAGTGAAACAGACAGAATGAAACTTGAAACAGCATGTGTAACAATAAATGGGTGAAAACATGTCCAGGTCACATTTCACACAGTCTCGGCCACAGACTGCCCACAGTCCATTAGATGGATATTGCACATAAAAATGGAAAGCTTCTTCTCACAAGCTTTAATATGACTGAATGACTTTACTGCAAGAACACACTTAACAGCTCCACCCACCCCTTTAAACAATCTACATTTCAAAACAAAGTTTAAACCGATATGTTTTTGTGTGTTTGATAATTCACTCACTGGCCACTTTTTTAGGTACACCTGTCCAACTGCTCATTAACGCAAATTTCTAGTCAGCCAACTACATGGCAGCAACTCAATGCATTTAGACCATGTAGACATGGTCAATACGATCTGCTGAAATTCAAACAGAGCATCAGAATGGGGAATTTAAGTGAGTTTGAACATGGCATAGTTGTTAGTATCAGATGAGCTGGTCTGAGTATTTCAGAAACTGCTGATCTATTGGGTGTTTCACGCACAACCATCTGTAGGGTTTACAGAAATGGTTCATTAAAGAGAAAATATCCAGTCAGCGGCAGTTCTGTGGGCACAAAAGTCTTGTTTATGCCAGATGTCAGAGAAGAATGGCTAGAATGATTCAAGTTGATATAAAGGCAACAGTAACTCAATCACTTGTTACAACTGAGGTATGCAGAAGAGCATCTCTTCGCAACTCATCTAACCTTGAGGTGGATGGGCTCCACCTGCAGAAGACCGCACCGGGTGCCACTCCTGTCAGCTAAGAACAGGAGACTAAGGCTACAATTGGCACAAGCTCACCAAAATTGGACAATAGAAGATTGGAACAACATTGCCTGGTCTGATGAGTCTCGATCTCTGCTGTGACATTTGGATGGTCAGAATTTGGCATCAACAACATGAAAGCATGGATCCATCCTGCCTTGTATCAACGGTTCAGACTGGTGATGGTGGTGTAATGCTGCATTCACACTAGACGCGGAAGAAGGATTTATATGTTAAGTCAATGCAAAGACGCAAATAGACATTAAGTTGAGCGTTTTGTGCGATTGATAAGCTTCAGTGGACATCCAAACCACGTTAACAAATCAGGAGATTTCTCTTGTGGGGCCATGATTATGACGTAGTGCCTGTTGTTGTTGTCCCGAAGGAAAAATCCTCCTGTCGACACCAGACAACAGTTTATCTAACTGGGCTCGGCTCAGTTAAAAGCACAGCTGAAAGCTTCCATCATCCAGGTATAGAATCTATAGGAGTTTATTTACTATGTGCACCTCTGAAAGGATCTAGTGGACTCAGACACAGCTCCAAACAAATCAACGCTGTTTTTCAGTCTTAATAAAGCACATAAACACAGCTATTCTATCGATAAAATCCATGTTAGCCATTAAATCGCAACTGAAGCTAATTTGACGTGCGAATGAAGAATAATGTTCATGCTTGTTTTTACGCATGATTTATCCGCGTCTGGTTTGAACACAGCATAATGGTGTAGGAGATGTTTTTTTGGTACACTTTGGGTTCATTAGTACCAATTGAGCATCATATCAACACCACAGCCTACCTGAGTATTGCTGCCGACCATGTCCATCCCTTTATGACCACAGTGTATGATCTTCTGATGGCTACTTCCAGCAGGATAACGCGCCATATTATAAACTGCAAATCATCTCAGTCTGATTTCTTGAACATGACTTTGACTTCACTGTACTTAAATGGCCTCCACACTCACCAGACCTTAATCCAATAGAGCACCTTTTGGATGTGGTGATATGGGGGATTTGTATCATTGATGTGAAGCCGACAAATCTGCAGCAACTGCATAATGCTGTCATGTCAATATGGAGCAAAAGCTCTGAGGAGTATTTCCAGTACCTTGTTGAATCTATGCCACGAAGTATTAGGGCAGTTCTGAAGGCAAAAGAGGGTCCAACCTGTTACTAGTAAGGTGTACCTAATAAAGTGGCCGCTGATTGTAAAAACACTTTTTCAGTCATTAACAAAACATTCTCATTATTGCAATACGTCCATTGTTTACTTACAGCAGTATTTATTTGCAATTATGATACCCATTTCATTCTCATTACTTTAATATATATATTTTTCATTTAATTCTGCATAAAATAAGCCAATGTACTGCACCTATAACAGTACATTGAGTTTAAATAATTAAAATAATTTTAATTTAAATAATTAAGTTTGTACTATTAAATTAAAATGTATTTTTATATTATATACATAAAAAATAACAAATCAGAAAAAAATAGTGAATTGCTGAATTTGTTAAATATGACCTAGAATTGTTCTTAAACAGGTTGAGAGAGTTAGATTTACAAAAAAATTGCTAATAAAAATAAACAATTGACAGATAGGAGGCATACAAAAAAATATGTAAAAAAAAAGTGAAAGCTACACTCTGTTATACCCCAGCCCCTCTTTAACCTTCACTGAGTATGGCCCTGATGAGTCAATGACAGGGACATAATTACCCATAGTACTGTGCAAGCAAAACCCAGCCCAGCAGCGCGGCCCACAAAGCTCTCTTTCTCATTTATGCACCGATGACACAATCTCTGTCTATGCTGCATCTCAGAGGAGCAGGACAGCCCTCCTCAGTTATTTCATGTCCCCAAACAGAACCTGCACCACCTCCTGATCATTACTGTACAGACATCACCCAAGCAGCACTCACTTAATAGTCAATATGTGTCAAAGCGGCCACTTTTAATGAGGTCAGCTGGGTTTATTTTGAGCACATATATGTATGGCTATATATTT